AACGACTACTTCTGAGTCTTGCGTCAAAAATAGAGTTGACTCAAAAGCAGTTACAGAAACTATTAATTTTAAGCCTGCCTCTAAATCTCGTCATTCAAAAATGACCCAAGAAAAGAGAATGCTTGGAGAGACTCGTGAGACAGACTCAACTCAAAAGTGGTCATTTCATAATCATCTACGAAATGTAAAGACTCATTACATATCCACCACATCATTAAAACAGACTTGTTAAGAAAGAATGCTCAATGTGCTTATAAGCTCATGAGATGGAATGCCAGATGTACTCATTCACTCATGAGACATTCAATGCCAGATATTTATCCATACGATGTAGAGACTCCTTATTATTTCACCTTTTCATCAAAACGGACTCATCATTGGTTAAAAATTGAAATACAAACCAACATATATGCGCTTAGATTACTCTAAATAATGTTGACGTTTTAAGATGGTACTATAGACTTGACGTGAGCTTGTTAAGTTTAAACAAATAATTTGATCTGATTAAAACTCAAATGAGCACATGAATTTCAATATTGGTACGCTCGAACAAGCTACCATCTAGAAGCGTGTTAACATATAAAACCTATACTGAAAATAAACTACGCATAAGGGAGCTGGCCTCGACTCAAAGAAATCAATTAACAAGAGGAAAGATTTATGAGTCCAACCTATAGGGGCAACTGGGGCTGATCTTTTTCTCGGCTGCTGCTTGCTAACTTTCTGCAATTGATCAAGATTTTCTCTGCCTTCAGCTACTACTGCCTTAAATCTGTTATGGGAATTTCTAACAGAACTACGATTCAAAAATGGGGAAAATCTTGAATTCAAAGGATTTGGATTGATGAACGCCTTTTGAGATGAAATGGGTTGAGAAAGAGCAAAATTTGACAACATTTTTCTTGAATTTTCTTAGGCTTAAACCAAACAATATTTTTCTCCACAATTTCCAGTATTCTGCAATTTCCTGACGCAAGAAGAAATGTGGGAATCATGATTTTAAAGGAGAGATTGGAGAATTCTGGAAGGGGTGAAGATATTAAGCTGCGAAAAATTTTATAATTTTTTTTTTTTTTTTTTCGTTTTTCTGGAGAAGTCCAGAAACTCTTTGTTACGGATAAGAAATTCCTACCTGAATTTGGGGGTTACAGTACGAAAGAAACGGTGTCGTATTGGCAACCCTAATTTAGAAGTTCTATTAAATTTTAGTTTTCCTTTGTTTTACTTGTTCATGTTCAAATTTCTTATTTCTATAAATAATGCAAAGAAAAAATATTATTAGTTCTCTTTTTCTTTTTGGATTTTTCATTGACTTCATACAATAATGAGCGTGCAAATTAAGCCATTGTTCGTCTCTCTTTAAAATAAAATTATTTAATTTTCACTTATTTTCAACTATACATTCATACAATAAAATATTTTACATTTAAATTCAAAATTTTTTCCTACTTTTAATCACACATTTTTCAAAAAATACTATTCAAAATATAATTTATTCAAAATAATGACCTCAAAAAAGGGCTAAATTATGTCAACCACCACGATACATATTATTTTTGTTAATAGAAAGTCGCCTTTAGCGCACATAAATAAACGTCAATATCTCATGTTCCATTTATGATGCATGTATGCTCATGTACTTCAACAAATAAAATTTATTTTTGATAAATTTAAAGTCGACCATACATGTTTGTCTATCCTTATTTGGAAAGAACAATCCTTTTATGCCTTCTTTAGCGATCAATAAAAGTGTGGTCTAATATTTGTAAATAAAATCAAAAGATAAAACATTTAAAAATGAGAAATCCAGCCATCTATGTAACTCAAAAAAGGTAACACAACATGTATCCAAATTATGGAAGTCAGAAACATTCATGTACATATATGAATGACAAGCTATTAACATGTTTTCCTTTTTCAAGGAAAATTTTCTTCTAAATTGCTAAAAACATCCCATTGTAAGGGACTGGCTATCCAATTCTGGAAAGGATCTTCGAATTGATCATGACCGTCTATTATCGCAGAAAAGTTCACCGAAGATTCATCGGTAGTTTTCGACAAAATTGATCCCATTTCTGAATTTTCTTTCGGCACATCGAAAATGGAAATATTTTTCATCTCATTAAAGCCAGATTTTGCTGCTCCTTCTGTCTGATAATCTGTCTCTTTTTCTTTGGATATAATATGCTGATAAATTTCCTCATTTTCTGCTGCAGAATTTTCAGTTTCATCGACAGGCTTGTGAGTCACTGGATCCAACCCCAGGAGTCTTAATTTCTTCTTGATCCTTGTATTCCAATAGTTTTTTATTTCATTATCAGTTCGTCCAGGAAAATGTGAGGCTATCTTAGACCACCTGCTAATGATCATATATATTAATTGTCTTAGAAATTTCTAAAAAGATCAAGAAATCATTTATTGTAAGTTAATTGTTTTAGGATGATCATGATGTTACCTGTTTCCTAGTCGAGAATGGAGCTCGATGATCATGTCTTCCTCCGCTTCTGTCAATGCCCCTCGCTTGAGGTCCGGCCTCAAGTAATTAATCCACCTTAGTCTACAACTCTTTCCGCATCTCCTCAAACCTTTCATCGTCACAAAACATACTACTTAATCATCGAGAAAGTCAGTTTTTCACGTGTAAACACGCAATACTGTTGAACTGCCTCCTCTAAAACCTTTAGCAATCAGAGAAACCATGAACTAATTTATTTGAATTATCAATTTAAAACTCTCCTCATGTGCATGCAAAATTCATTTTTTCATCATATACCGGAGATGTGCATAATTTCATAAATGGGTAACTATGAGACTATTTTCTTACCTGCAAGTTTCGGAACGAGTCGCCAACATTGTATTCCATTGTTGAGGATGAAATTCATGAGTTTATGATCTTCTTCGATCGTCCACGGACCGCGTTTTAGTCCTTCCTTTTCACAGCAAGGTTGTCTTCCCATGATTGCACACCGGTTCAAACCAAAATGCAGTTAAAGCACTGCAGAAAGAAGTTTAAAAGTATTAAAGCAGCATCCAAAAATGTGTTTATATGTGAAAGCAAAGATTCTTCCAGCTCATTTTACAGATCAAATAAAAATATATATGTGCATGTATAAATGTTCGGGGAAAAAATGCACAGTTTTAGTCCCTCAATGCACTAAGTTGGTTAAAACATTTATAGTTGCACGATCAATTTTCGACCATGAAAATTATTCAAGTCTTCGTTAAATTATCCCATGATCCTCGTAGAAGATGCCCCACTTCAAATCTTAGGAATCAGTCTAAATTTAGGATCGAAGAGTCGTATGACATTTTTTTCGATCAGAAATAGTTCGTTTTATCGTACTCACAAACACAAAATTTGCTCGGCCTTAAAGATCAAGACTAAGTAAGTTGCGAACCAATAATGCAATTTTCCTCGTATGTATATATATTTATATAATATATAGATGTCCACAATGTCTGCTCCAGTTGATTTTTGCTAAAGTAAAAGGGAAGACAGCTGCCTTAATGGGGGACAACTCGTTATTCCCTTAGTTTTATTTTCTTATTTTAATGTTTGAATTTGTCATTATAGTTATGGAAAAGCTATATTAATACAACTCTTTTGTGTGAATGTTCGTGAATCAAATCATTATATGATTCTTGTTAATATTCTAATTCAATGGGTAATGAAGTCTCGTTTTGCAGTCCACGTATGTAGACAACTTCGTCTTTATATTTTATTACATCACTAAAGGATTATGGGATAAAGTATGATTATAATTTAAGAACCCATGAAAAGTGCTTATAATTGTTTAGATAATTTAATGTCCAAATGGAATGATTCAACTTTTTTTTAATACTAACTATTCTTTAGAGTGGACAAATGGTGTTTCCTACTTTTGTGTTTTGTCCCAAACCCTGCATTAAAGAAACGCCCTCCAAAATAAGACCAATGACAAATCTACCTAACTAGATAAATAGTAGATTGCAACTCGTGTTGGATATTGGTTAAATAAATTGAAAATTGAAAATCGATTAAAGTTCGTATCGAATTCGGCCAAATACTCAAAAGCTCGACTCAATCCGTTTAGGCAAAATTGTTTGCCACTTCGCCGCTTCGGGGCGCACAAACGGGGATCAACCTGTATGTATTGATTTCTCTGCATGTATTGAAGGGTATATTTGGCATTTCAAAAACCAATATCGGATGAATGAGAAATTACGAAAAAGGCCTCAACCATTAGTGAATAGACACATTTTCATAAAGGTGCATTGTTTGGAAAGGGTGCATGGTTTGGCCTTTCGTCCACACCCCTTCATGGTCTATAAATAGGATCCTTTGGGTGTCATATTCCTCACAGTTTGATATGCAAAAACGTCTCTCATCCTCTCTTCTATCCAAAATCAAAATCATTTCATTTATTTTGATTTTCTTTCATTTCATCTGTGGAGTACATAAGCCTACATTTGGTTCGTTGTACTTGTGTTTTGGAGTGCTACAAACACAAGTGTAGCCGTTGTATCTTGGGAGTCGATTGTCGAAATCCGTAGGCACCGTTGCGGGACAAATTCGACTTAAGGACAAAGAGTCCAACTCTTGCCTCGGCTTTGTCACCATCATTATACTTATTTCGGCGTCACTATTCACAAAATTCTTCCAACAACTCGTAATTCACAGCTTACAAAATAGCGAGTGATCAATTGGCTCTCTATTAGAAAAGGAGTAGACTACATGGACAGGCAAGAAATTCACAGAAGTCCTATAGAGAAGACAAAACAGAAGGTGGGTGGTTTATTTTTGACAATAAAATATTTACATGGGACCCATCCCCATGTGAGAGCCTTGTAAACATTCTGTGACTTCGTTCTCTGTACACATGAAATAATTTATTAGAAAAAGCTTAACTTGGAAACAAACCTAATTTGGATCACTTAAAAATCCATCCACTCTTCTATCCATGTAGGTGTCGAATACATGTTTAACTACAAAATTAAATTGATCTTTCTTCATCAATAAAAGCCCCTCTTAAAGTAGCTAACTCCACAATGACCCGGACCGTCTCCGTCCGAATTTTAAGATTGGTATGCTTAAATAAAATTAACATATAAAGACTTATAGATTACTTCTCTTAACAAAGTTTGCCTTCTAAAATTGACTGGCAAGAGTGTAGGGATGAGTGAGTCATTGGCATAGCCCAAGCTTACCGGGCCATTTTTCTTCTTTATTTCCTTAAAATTATACTTCGTTCTCGATATTCAGCCACCTTCTGGGGTCTTCTTTCAGCATTTCGTCTTTCTAGCTAGCCTAACACTAATAGAGCCTTCAACTTCATATTGACCAACTTTGCTAACCAAAATTCACACCTGCACCCAAATTAATGAAAAGAAGCTAAAATATTGTTCATTATAGCGTCAAGTGTCTATAATGAATGCCTCCAGATTTTGGCCTCATTAGTTGGTCTTCCCATCAAGATCTCACCAACCTAACAATATGGTGCTCCCTATTCAAGATATCTTTCTCATATCAACAAAAATGAAATGAAAAAAGCACAATTTAATTCCCCTACATGCACAAACTAAAGGGAGTGCAGCCATATATTTCCTAGCTAAACTGAATATATGAAAAAAACCAATTCAAATATTTCTCTGCAAACGAGTTTTCCTCTTCTGAATCTGAATATATAACATGCAAACTTCAGTCTTCAATAGATGAACACGGTTGGCGTCTAGAGGAAAACATATATAACGTTTCCTAAATGAATATCTATGAACAAAAATTGTCAATAGACTTTGAAGTACAGAACCGACTGCGATTGTTAGTCAGTGAATATGCAGGGAATAATTCCCTCTGCCTGCTGTGATGTGCTATACATATTGCCTCACCTGTTCAGCCTTTTTCATCAGTAGACCACCTACAACTTTTCACCCTAATGATAGATTTAATTTAGTGAACTTTAAAGATGAATATAAAATGATAAAATTAACTTGATGATCCATGTGAATTTGCTTCATTTTATGCTATGATGCTCGGACTCGGGTACGGGTGTATATTTAAGTGTTGGACTTTTAATTTTTTAAAATGTAGGATATGTGGACTTGATTAAAAAGAGTCCAAATTTCTGACACAAGTACGTGAGTACGTCTTTCAAGCTTCAATTTTTTTTTTTACTAACCCAATATGTTATTTTGAATAGACCAAGATAATTGTTCACAAAGAAGGAAATATGTATTGAATAAGGGGTTAAGACAAAAAAAATTTGGGTTTAATTTTTAATTATGAGAAGTAAATTAATAGATGTTATATAAAATCTAAAATGAGGGGATTTGATTGCAATTTGGACTTAGTGGAGCACAAGTTAACACCATATGGAACCCATTTTTATTTTATACACACAAAACCCAAAACCATTAATACAGAGGGGGAAAGAAGGGGAAAAAAGAAGAAAAGTGAAAGAAAAAGAAAGGAGGAGAAAAAACCTAGCGCCGTCGCCTTTTTCCATCCCCTCGAAGTGCGGCATTAGATTTATAGAGAGTAGAAACGGGAAAAAAAGGAAAAGAATTTTTAAAAAAAAAAAAAAAAAAAAAAAAAAAAAAAAAAGAAGAAGAAAAAAGGGCAAAGTGTCCGATTGAAATTTGAAGGATCCGACACATATTCCATACCCATACCCATGTCATGTCGTGTCCAACACGGGTACTCCAACTATTTCGAAGAGTCCGAGCATCAGAGATTTTATGTTGTTAACAACTCAAGTGGATTTTTCTTTACCATCTTCCACTGAGGATTCAGTTTCAGCATTTAAGGATGTCAGCTTCCCGAAAGATTCCTTAGCATCTCCAAAGAAGTCCTTCACTTTATCAAGAACAGTTTTGAGTTCATCCTGTGTTGGGAGCTGGAAAAAAAATAAAATAAAATAAAATTTGGTTGCAATCAATTATTCATTATATATCTTAACATTAACCAATTTGGATTCAATATTCCAAGTCAATGTACTTTTCCCCACCCAGAGATGATTAAAATTACAATCTCATTACGATTGAAAGGATTAGCAACATAGCTAATAATCAACTATTACCTCAATAACATCTGTGGTGTTAAGTGCAGCTCTTATATTGTTGCCTTCCTGCATGTTAAACGTAGAAATTTACAAAACTGAGATGCAGTAACACATCTGCATTTTGAAATTCTATCACAATAATAGTAGGAATGTGATTATATTGATTAAACTTTTCATAAGGTTCTTTGTGCAAAGATCGTAAGAATGGGTTGTAAGGAAAATTTTTTAAGAGCTTAACTAAGAAACATAGGAAATTAATCCTTGGCATGATTTAATAGAAATGTAAAAGACAAATCATAGAGGTTCAAGTTGATAGAACAAGATGGTGGAACTTGTAGGGTGAAAAACGGGTAAATTATACGAACGAACATCTGTCGGAAGGAAAAAATGGAATATAGACAGTGATAATAAGATGGTGTGGAATGTATACGAGACCTAGAGCGAACGAGGTATAGGAGAGTTTAAGGTTAGAAGTTTAGGGTCTTGTGTGAAGTACATGGGGATTGTATACTTATCTTGGAATTTAAGGATAGAGAAAAACCTATTTAGAATATTCGGTTTGCCTACTAACAAGGAAGGAAGCTTTCCGGAGGATGTACTCTGTAGGATTAGATTAACACACCATATAAAGAATGGAGTCCTCTCTTTGAATTTGTACAACAACAAGAACAATGTCCTACACGGAATCTTTGTCAAAGGGACTGGATGAAAGTAGAAGTGCAAGTAGAAATGATGATTCTAATCTAGAAGCAACTGGAATATGGGATCGACAACAAGGGAATCCCGAGGGATGGAGGAGGCTAGTGGAAACCAATGTGTGGCCATATAAGAATGGATAAGATAAGAACGAGAATATATATGGCTTACATCTAAAAACAGTGATGTGATCCTAACAGAAACAGGTTAGAAGAGGAACTAGACAAAATTTGACATCATCAGAAGTCTTGAAGAATTATCGCAATTTATGGAAAATTGTAGGAATATGCAATTGAAATCATGGTATGTAAAGTAGAGAACAGGAACTTTACAATAAGTTTGTAGCCGTATCTAAACTCTGTAGCTGTCCGCAATGGACGAAACTGTTTCTGTGCCATCTTTTGTATCTGCTTCTCATCCTGTTTCAGTATTAGCAAATTCAAAATGATGTAGTTCACATTTACAAACCGAAGCACGAGGATACATATTTTATAAAGAAACTGCCTCCAATTTCAATGATGATCTACACAAATGAAACTATTTTTACACAGCTATTTGGCCTATGGATTCATATTCTATATTTTTGAAGGTAGCAATTGATGTGGATTAATATATAAAATGCCAAAATGCTTCCATTTTTAACACTTCTTAATGCAATGCCATGTTTCTATTTTTAATGCTTCTCAAGCTCTATAGAGCACATCCTATGATGCTCGGACTCAAGTACGAGTAAGTATCTAAGTGTCGGATCATTTATTTTCTAAAATTTAGGATACGGGGACATGGTTAAAAAGAATCTAAATTTCAAATACGGATATGTGGGTATGCCTTTCAAGCTTTATTTATTTTTTTTTTACTAACCCAAGATGTCATTTTGAATAGAACAAAATCAATTTTTCACAAAGAAGGAAATGAGTATTGAATAAGAGGTTAAGACGAATAAAATAGAATTTTGGGGTTTAATTTTCAATTATAGGAAGTTAATTATTAAATGTTATATAAAATAGAAAATGAGGGACTTGATTGCCATTTGGATTTAGTGGAACATTAAGTAGCATTATATAGAACCCATTTTCATTTTATACACGCAAAACCCTAAATTACTGATACTGAGAGGGAAAGAAGGAATAAGGGAACCAAAGGGAAAGAAAAAAGAAAGAAGAAGAAGAGAAAATCTAGAGCCGTCGCATTTCTCCATCCTCTCGGAGGTGGTGTTGGGTTTATAGAGTAGAAACGGAAAAGAAAAGGAAAAGGAAAAAGAAGCAAAAAAGGCGAAGTGTTCGATTGAAACTTGGAGGATCCGACATATATCTCATACTCATACCCATGTCGTGTCGTATCCGACACGGGTACTTCAACAATTTTGAAAAGTCCGAGCATCGAAGAGCACATCTATTTTGGAATTCAAGGTCAGTAAGATATATCACCCTTCAAGACTCTCACATCTCCCTATTGTTGTGGAACTGAACTAAAGTTAACATGACTCCTGTGCACAAATAATCCTTCAATATAGTGTTATCTACGTTCAACTTTCATCCCTTACTCCAATAAAATCAATCTTCGTACAACTTTATAATTGAAATGGACTTTGATCTGATCTTTCAACAGATGAGGGAAGAAAAAGTAAAAGCACAAAAAAGGGGAAAAAATCATCAAGGAGATGACAGTTTCGACATTTCCTTAGTGAGTAAGATTGTTGAAGAGCTGATAAAAGTAAAAGGAGACACAATTTCTATGTTAGAGGATCAAAGGACAAATAATGGATATAAAACCCTGTCCCTTCTTATTATCTTTATTTCGTACTAAGTTACTAACAAAGCTCCAAATCAAACGTATGAATGTCAAGAATATCAAGGATGAAAGACTTACTCTGTAAATAACTGCTGCAATATTCCTAGCTAGTGTATCTTTGTAAATATATTTTCCCAGAAAATTGTCTTTTGCAGCAACCATGAGTTTTGCAGTTGTCCCACCAGTTATAAGATTAAGTGGGTACCAAAGGTAAACCTGTCCATAACCAGAAAGTGAACTTCACATTTCCAGATGCCAAACGAAAGCTTATAAAAATTCAAAGCTCGGGTCACAGAAACTTTACTAACCGTTAACCTACATATATATGTAGTTAACACACTCCCAGTAATCAATATAAATCAATTATCTTACTCTATAGAGTATGTTTGGGAAATGATCATAATTTAAAAAGCTGGAGCCAAAAATACTTTTTATCCTCACATTTTGTAGAATCCACAAATATTATCCACTTATTATCCATACATTCCTTGGGACTAGAGCTTATAATTACTTAAATAACAATCTAATCACTTTCCAAACATGCATTTAAATTTTCATGAATCACCACCAATTCCAAAGAGTCAAACTAATGTTACTATAAAAAAGTGTGAGAACATAAATGATAAAACACTCTAAACAATTACAACTCATTTGGTTAGGTGAAGTATTCACTATTAGATAGCATTACCAAAGCAAAAGAAGACAAAATCTTTTACATTGCCAAGTCCTCTCGAGTTCAACGTACCAAACATACTCTTAATGTTACATTCAGATGGTGTATAGAACATATAATGGTAAGATAATCTAATACACTAAAGTAAGAAACACTCTTTTATAATCATCCCGCTAAAACCTAGTCCATGCATTACACTATTCTCTTTTGATTTCTTTTTACAACGTTAATCAGCACATAATAGAGCTGGAAGTTATCATAATTTGCCAAAAGATAATCCATCAATTTTTACATAGAACCATCAAATTTCTTTTGTGTTGGAGCTAAATTTCTAAGCTTAACAAATGACAAGACCACCAAAGATATGCAAACCTATATATATAAAGAAAAAAGGACTTTTGAAAATGTTAGCCTCCGTTACATTTTGATTGTCTTTGTCTGTGCAAGAGCTGCACTTGTTTACATGTTGAACTACCTAATCTAAAAGACACAATTATTCTCTAGCAAATGCTTGACACGTTACACGAGCACAATTTTTCTCAATTTTCATAAATAGGTGACTGAAAACATGAACTTGCAATAAATCACCTCGTCTAAAGATGTATTTATTCTCTATCAAAAGCCTCACACGTGCACAATTCTACGCAATTTTCTTAAACAACTGACCACAAAATCTAAATTTCTAATAATACATTGAACCACCTCTGCTAAATACTGCATTTTAGATAATTAACACATTTATTTTTCAAATTTAATCCCCAACAGTCTGTGTGTGATAGACATAGAGGGAATGAAGTGAGCTAACATTCGCCATGCGGATGAAGATAACAAATTTAGGATTTCCATCATCTTCAATCTTGGGTAAAGACGGCGGCGGCGTACGCTGGTACTGTCTAGCCGCCATTCCTTTCTTCCCCTTCGCTTCAACTACCATCGCTCGCCGTTCCTTGTGGCCGTTCATCTTCCGGGACGTCGTCGTTCTCGTCGAACAAAGCGAGTGTCTTATACGTGAATCTTCAAATGTTCTTGAATTTGATAAGGGCAGTCTTACCATTGAATTCAAAGACATACCCACCTCCATTTTTACTGTAAATTTCTGTTTTTGTGAAGTTCTTGGTGGAATTGGTACTCGGGAGTAGTGGCTAAGGCTGGCTTTGGGTCGTTAGCGAATCCTATCCACAATTTGAAGCAGTAAACTGCATAAACAGTATTAAAACTAAAATAAAAATGAAAAAGGTTTTTTGTGCGAATAGTCCTCAGCCTATGGCATCAGTGTGCAATCAGTCCCTATTCGTTTTTCTTGAGACTGGCCTCCTCAACCTATGATTATGGTGCGAATTCAGTCCTTTTTGTCAAATAATGTCAAAATTTTGATTGGCAAAAAATCAATATGCACATAATTTTGATTATAATAAATGAAAAACACAGGAAAATAATAAAAATGAGAAAAAAAATTAACAAAAAAACTTCTGAAATTTTATAATTATATCTCAAGAAAATGTTTCCACCATCAACCCCAGCCAATCGGCTAGAAAATATTACGATGCAGTCGTCTTGTGTGTACTATTGATCATTTACATTAGACACAAGATTATTCTCAGCAATTTATGCCGTTGACGTATTTGTATTTTAATCTAAAATGGACAAAATTCTAGTGTGGATAATTATATTTACATAACGCCACGGAACTCAAAGAGAACGGAAAGAAACCGTTCATAGAACGGGAACCTCTAATAGTGTCACTATTAAATAAAAATATAATATTTTAATTGTATTAAACAGTTTAAACTTTGTCAACATTTTTATTAGAGCCGTGCTGCATTTACAGAAAGGAAAGTCACAAAATTTTTTCAAACAACTCACAGTGGTTGTAAGTGGGTGATATTTTTTGTCTTTTTTACATATATGGGGCCCACACAGGTATCTATTATGGCAGAATTCTGTGAATTGGAATTCTATTCAAATTGAAATTTCCTTTTTATTGCATTCTTACTCTAATAAGTATAAATCATCCTAAAATAACTTATTTATTTAAATTATGTTTTCAACAGATTGTTTATATCTAATGCACCCCCAAGATAGTCGGAAAATACATCCAAACAGTCTAAATAAAAGGAAGGTTTTTGAAAATAGACTAAAAAATGAAAATATTTGAAAAATAGTCTTCAAACAATCATCTTTCTAAAAATACCCTTTATAGAAAAATTGCAATCAAAGCCACTACAATGTAAATAAACCTTCAAATAGGTCCTCAAGAAAATATAGACCAAAAATCTTTAATTAATTTAAACCCAAATATTATAGAAAATTTTATTGAGCTAAGAAATGCAACAGAAAGTGAATTAAATTATTTAGAAGAAGAACTGAAAGGATTCTTTACAGAATATTTAGATCCAAAATTAAAAAATAAAAATGTTTCTATAGATAATAATACAACCAAAACAGAAAATGATATATATAAATTAATTCTTAATCTGAGAAGAAGAATTAAAGAATTAAATAAAATCATTAAAGAAAAAGTATTAATAAAAAATAGTAAATTTTATAAATTTTATTGTGACATTTTAGATATTTATAAAGATTTTAATTGGCTCAAAAATATTAACCCCTCCGCTGCACACTCTGACGAAATGGTATCAGAGCCATGTTACGAACCAAAAATTATGATGAATATAGTAGATGAAGAAAATATAATTGAAGAATTTTTTAAAAAAGTTGAAAAACATAAAAAACCTAGTTATCCTTATTTGCCTAAAAATACCACAAATGAAAATTTTGGAGATATACATAAAAAACTAGAAAATCTAGAACATAATCTACAAGTAGGAAACGCTCTTTTAGATAAAAGTTTTAAGGGAAAAGATAAGATTATAATTAATCCACCTCAAGATTTTAAGATAACACAAAAAGAAAATAATAAAGGGAAAAAATATGAAGAAAAACAATATATGATAACAGATGTAGAAGAAATAAAACAAAATTTTTAGAATTTACAGGAGAAGAGTATGAAGAATATAAAAAACAGTTAGAAAAATTAACTGAAAAAATGGAAAATATAAAAATGAATACTAATCCATCTTCAAGTCAGGATATAAAAGTTGAATTTAGTAGTGATGAAGAACAAGATTATCCTTATGGTACTACAATATCACTTAAGGATGGTATTAACCAATATAGAAAAACACAAAAAATGTACACTGAAAATGTAAGAAAACAATCCATAAAAGAAATAAATCTAATGAAATCCTATAATGAACCAATCCACACAACGGGAGTATGGTTAGATTTAGACTGTGTAGATAAAAATAAGGCTATTGAAACATGGATGAAAAGTACAGATTTAGCAATACAATTTAATAAATGGGAAACATATACAACTTTTGAATTTATAGAATATACATTCAGAGGAATTGTTTCTGAATGGTGGAGAAAATTACCAAAAACTATTAAAGGAAGGATAAAATATGGAACAAATAGAATTGAGGTATTAAATAATAGAAATACTCTAAATAAACAAAATATACAGGAGATATTAAAAAGATTTGAAAAAATCTTAAGAACAGAATTCTTAGGAGATAGGTATACTTCTAATGAAAAAGAAAGGAAACAAGATGAATATAATCAAGGAATGTTAGCAATGGAAAATCTAAAGATATGTGATACGTGTGAGTTAGAAAGATATACATGTAAATTTGAAGAATTATATTATATACTTAATCAAGGAGATTATCAAGAAAATAAACCTATATTAAGATCTTATTTTACAAAGTTACCATTCCCATGGGGAATTAAGCTATTAAAAGAATATGAGAAATTACTACCACTAGGAGAAGAGAAATGAATTAAAATAGATAGTCTTGGAAGTAGAATTGAATTTACAAGAAGAATGATAGGTATGTGGTGCAGAGAAGCACTAGAAAATAAGAAGGCTTATAAAATAAGAAAGAATTTATTATGTTGTTATAAAGATAATGGCCAAATTGAACAATTTGGATGCCATAAGAAGAAATATAAACCATATAAGAAATACAAAAGAAAATTCAAAAATTATAAAAAATTCAATAAAAGGAATTTTAAACCACATAAAAAATATTTCAAGAAAAGAAATTGGAATAGGAAATCTAAACCAAGAAACATTAAAAAATGTAGATATTTTATTTGTAATGAAGAAGGACACATTGCCCCTCAATGTCCTAAAAAGAAAGATAGACAAAATATAAAAACTCTTAGGATTTATAAAAAAATTCAAGAAGATAGTGATATAGAACCAATTAAATATTTTGAAGACTTAAGTAGTGAATGCAGTAACATTTATGAATTAGATACATCCTCATCAAAAGAAGATTATGATGAGATAGTATATATGAATCAGGAGATACAACAATCATAAATAGAAATTGAAACAACTGAAGAAGCCGAAGATTCTATAGAAGGTATTAATCAGGAAATTATTTTTGATATTAAAAAATATGCAGGAATCACTAAAAAGATATTAGATTTACAAGAAAAAGATGTATTCCATCAAGAATTCTTAGGAATTTTACCAAGAGTAAATAAAACAGTTGTAAGTATGAATTATAAAGAAATGTCTATCAATATAGAAGAAACTATAGGAAAAGCAAGAATTCCTATAATTACAAAAGAATGGGTAAAACAAAAATTATCCAAAATCCCAGAAAATATAAGAAATAAATTGAAATGTATTAAATTAGGAGGAGTCCAGATAATGGTAAAAGGATTCTTTAGAGAAGATATGAATATACCAATAGAAATCTATTGTATGGACAATAGAATCTTACAAGATCCTATAGATACTCTGTTAGGAACAGTTGTAGGAAACTTAATCTATCAAAAGATAATATTTACAGTAAAACCAAATTATGCGATATCATTAAATGATGAAAATATTGATCAAAGTTTCAATCTATACTATAGAATTGGAAACCTAAAAATGTTACGAAGAAGTAAGGGCTATTAGTATAAGTATAAAATCAATTTTTGCTTTTAGTACTAGCCATCATAATAATCTAAGAAAGATAACTGATAATATTATTATACATAAAGATTTTGAAGAATTAGCACGATATATACCTCCTAGAAAATACCAAGAACATGAAGTAACGATACCAGAACAAATAATGCTTGATTTTCATAAACAAGCAAAAGAAATTAATTCTGAAGGAAAATTAATAAGAATAAATAGTGTTAACTTAGAAGGAAACAATCTTATTGCAAGATTTCCTTCTAGACAAGACTCTAGGATAAGTAGACTTAAGAATTTAAGTATTGCTGAACCATCAAGTTCATAATATTACATTAAGACAAGATATGTAAACCAAGAAGGATTTAAGAAGAATCTCCTTGTCCTCATAGATACTAGAGCAGATAAAAGTCATGTAAATGCTGTAAATGCCAAATTTGTTAATCATTTAATAGACTTTGAAATACCAGAACCATATATATTTAAGGATTATTTGGAAAATAATCTTGAAATAAGAAAATATGTTAAATTCCCTCTTATACTTGTAGGAGAGGATCATAAAGAATATATTAAAGAAATAATTTTATACAAAGATGAGTTATATGAAGTAGATCGTTCACCTGTTCTACTAGGAATGAACTTTCTTGAGAAATATAGTCCTTATAAAATTTGTCAAGGATATTTAAAAATAACAGTTGATGATAACCCAATTATTATACCAAGAATAGATGAAAATATGAAATCATTGTCATCATGGAAAGAGTAATAAGTTATAATCTCATGAGTCCATATATTGAAATTACACTCAATATAAAAAGTTATTGTAGAATTAAATTTCATGCTTACTTAGATACAGGAAGTACAATAAGCTTATGCTTACCAAATGTACTACCATCTGAATACTGGAAATACAATTCAAAGAAGATAATCACTGCTACAACAGCAGGTGGAAATAAGGTAATATATAGCAAGTATGCTACGCAAGTACCTTTTCTAATTTCATTTAGAGAAATATTTGTTGATACAATATATATGTCAACTACAATTGGATGTAATATTTTATTAGGACAAAATTTCCTATTAAAATATGCACCATTTATACAATATATTGATAAGTATATGTTCACAACACCTTGTGCACATAAAATATTTACACCAAAAATAAATAAAGCTGTTACAATTGCATATAGGGATAT